ACAGGAAAGATACAGTGGTACCTCGCAAGACGAATGCCTCGTAAGACGAAAAATTCGCAAGACGAAAGAGTTTTCGTTTTTTGAGTTGCCTTGCAAGACGAATTTCCCTATGGGCTTGCTTCCGCAAGACAAAAACGTCTTGCAAGTTTGTTTCCTTTTTCTTAAAACCGTTAATACCCAGGGTGCATTGCTTGAAGAGGTGCAGTTGCGACTGGTGTGGTAGCCTTTTTTGAGGTTTTCCAAAACTTCTTTTGCAGCCATTTGGTGAGTTAAACTTTTAAAACTTTTTTTGGGGTTTTTTGGATTGGGGTGTTTTCTAGGAGGTTTGGTGCTATTGAATTTTTTGGATGTGAAGCACTGATTATTATTTTTTTGGGTTTGCGAAGGTAGGAACTGGGCTGCCATGGGGCCCAAGAAGACTGCTGCTGCAGAGGCCGGTGAGAGGAAGAAGGAGAAGAAAGAACTAAGGGACACTTGCCAGAAGTGGAAAGATGTGCAGGCTTTTGCACAGTGGCACCACCCTGACAAGGGCCTGACACGTGGCCTTGTAGAACACTTTTGATACGAGGAGTCATGTCGCCTTTCAGGAGAGGTGCTGAAAAGGCGGATGAAGCAGCAGACCATGGACAAGTTCTTCAGCAAGAAGCACAGAGTGGAAGAGGCACCTTCTTCGAGGTGTCCCCAGAGTCTTAGAAAATGTATAAAATTCCTTCCAGTAGCATCTTAAAGACCAACTAAGTTAGTTCTTGGTATGAGCTTTCGTGTGCATGCACATTTCTTCAGATACTTCTTCAGGTATGTGAAGAAGTGTGCATGCACACGAAAGCTCATACCAAGAACTAACTTAGTTGGTCTTTAAGGTGCTACTGGAAGGAATTTTTTTTGTTTTGACTATGGCAGACCAACACGGCTACCTATCTGTAATTAGAAAATGTATGTACAGTTCTGTACACTTTGGTGATTTTTAAACTTTTTTTGACCATAGGAACGCATTAATTGATTTTCAATCCATTTCTATGGGAATCCGTGCTTCGCAAGACGAAAAATTCGCAAGATGGAAAAACTCGCAGAACGAATTAATTTCGTCTTGCGAGGTACCACTGTATTCTGACAAAACATCAGGAAGAACTTTCTGACGGTTAGAGCTGTTTTGACAGTGCAACAGTGTCCTTCGGGAAGTGATGGACTTTCCTTCCTGGGAGGTTTATAAGCAGAGGTTGGGTGGCCATCTGTCATAATAATAAAGATTTTTAAAGTGTTGATTGTCATCTGTCTTGGATGTTTTAGTTGAAATTCCTGCATTGCAGGGAGTTGGACTAGATGACCCTCGGGTTCCCGGCCAACTTACAATTAATTGATTCTAACTTTAGGTAAGGGACGCGGGTGGCGCTGTGGGTTAAACCACAAAGAATAGGACTTGCCGATCAGGTCAGCGGTTTGAATCGCCCCAACGGGGTGAGCTCCCGTGGCTCGGTCCCTGCTCCTGCCACCCTCGCAGTTCGAAAGCACGTCAAAGTGCAAGTAGATAAATAGGTACCGCTCCGGTGGGAAGGTGAAACGGCGTTTCTGTGCGCTGCTCTGGTTCGCAAGAAACAGCTTATTCATGCTGGCCACAGGTGCTGCTCCGGGCGCCTTGGAAGATGGCCGACAATACCATCTCTCCGGCTCACACGAGGTAATTTAGGGGCTGATTATGGGAGTACATCAGCCTCCCGTTTTCTTCCTAAGGGATGGGAAGATGCTGCCTCGCCCGCGGTTGCCCATAAATCACCCCTAAGTTCAAAAGAAGTAGGGGTGGGGGCACCGGACGGAAAGCCCTCAAGTGAGTTCTGGATCTCCTGGAAGCTTCTTCCAAGAGCGAAACTAGCTGCATTGCTTAAGATAAAATAATTGGAGGAAGTAAATGCACATGTTTCGAGCGAAGTAAAGGGTGTATTATCTGCTAATTAAATCTACCACTGAGAAGACAAGAGTGATGAGATGGAATGAACAGAAGATTACATCAAAGAATTACAGCTATGTCAGTATGTTGAAATGGAACGGAAAGGGGGGGGGGGCTTTCTTTTTCAATATGATTTACCTGACAACCCCTCCCCTAGAAGAACCGTCACATGATTGATAGCAAGTGAGATTGGAAATAAACTGTGTGGAAATAAAAATATTAACTAAAGGCTTTGTTTTGTGGAAGACTTGGAAAGAACGAAAGGCTTTCCTGTGGCGCAGTTATTATTGGGATCCACCATTATGAGACAGACTTTGTTGCCAGATTTACAGTCAAAGCGGGAGGCGAGCCACTGTTTTGCTATCATGTTTGGATTGTATATCTGAATGGACAAAAACTCCCTCGAAAGACTGATTTATGGTGCAACTGGTCTGGGAAAATTAAGGAGCAGACGCTTATACTGTATTTCATTGGAACTGACAAAAATGGCACCAGCCGCTAGAACAGGACTTTTGGATCAGCGTGAGAAGAATTACGGGAGAGCATTACAAAAGTTCACACAGAAAAATAAATAATGCTTGCTTCAACTCGCCTGTGGAAACAACTTGGATGTTATTAAGAAGAAAAATGATAACAACAAGAAGATAGGAAGATGGGACTTGTGAATATCAAAGCAGCAGAAATATGAGATGATTAGACCCTTACTGAACTCGAAGCATGGGTACTCCCCAACAAAAATTTAAAATTCGGCTAAATATTTGGAGTTTAAATTCTATAGCTTAAATTCTCTTGATGCTTGTTTTTTTGAGAAGGGCCTCTTACGGTCACAAAGCAATGATTTTCAGTGCAGCTCCATAACACTGATTGCGCCTCACACTGCCCCTTTCGTGTGGGGATTTGGATCCAGAAAGGAGCAGAGAAAAGGTTAAGCAGAATCCCACCCACCCGCTGCGCCACCCTTAGGTGTGCTCAGCCTTCACCTGCTTCATGACTCCAACTTGCATGAGAAGGCAGGATGGAGCTGCAGAAAACAGGAAGTGGTCCTTCAACCGGCCAGGACATCTCACTATCACAGACAGATCCAGTCTCCTGCTGTGGAGTCAAGAGTGGCCCTGGGATGGCAGAGAGAGGAGGGGAAGGGGCCAGGGACAGAAGGAATGGCAGGGCTTCAGATGCTCCCTTGGACCCCTCCCCTGACACCAAGGGGAGCTCCTCTTTTTTTTTTTTTTTTTAAATAATCTTTATTAAAGTTTCAAAAGGTTACAAAAAAACAAAACAAAAACACACACAAAAATAACACAAAACACGACATAAAAAAAAAATTCCACCTTTTAGGTCTCATTTTCAATAACTTCTTTTCATGACTTCCCCACGCCTCCCCTTATTGTATTCCAACTCCGATTGTTTATTCAAGCAAGTTTTTATCCTTAATGTCCTAATCATAATTTATTAATTTACTTAACCATAAATTATTAATGTGATTCTTTATAATAATTTTAAACCTTAATTCATTATTATCCATTAATTTAGATTATTTAGCAATTTTTAGAATATATACCTTAATCATACATAAAAAAAGATAAAAAAAAAGAGATATAAAAACAAATAATAAAATACCTTCCCTAAGATTGTCCCTAATTCCCATCCACAGATTCCCCATTCTTATAATAATAAAGAGCATATAGTTTTACACTGCAAAATAAAAATCAGGCCCCCTTTGGACTTCTAAACCCCACCCTTCTCTTCCCGGTTTCAATCCCAAACCAAAGTCCAATTAGTCCATCTTTTTAGCCTGGTGACCTTACGTCCGAGGCTCTCGGATCTCTCTCAGTCCCTTTCCGCCGGCTTCTTCGAAAATCTTTCATATTGAACGCCCCAGGTCGGGGAAGTACCTTCTCCATGTTAACCATATTTCTTCCAGCAAGGCCTACTTGTTTAGAGGTGGAGCTCCAACTCTGTTTCTTAAGTCTATATGTCCCAAATAATCCAGTTTTCATCTTAGTCGAATTGGAATTCTTCTTGGCAGGTCTCCGGCTCTCTTTTATCTTCTGTAACTTTTCAGCCACCCCTTCTTTCTGCTCCTCCTGTTCAGCTGATGTCTTAGTCTTTGGTTTCTTTTCTTGTCCAGCTGCCTGTGTTTTGAGCATCAAGTCCCTTTCCAACTCAGTAGGTATATTTTCTGTTGACTTCGGTTTCGTAGGACTTGTAGACAAAACATGGCCTTGCTCTATCCTCTCTTGCAGCTTTCCCATGAGAAAAATAAGCTCTTGCAAGTCAGCTCGTATTTCCCGACCTAGTTCCATTCTTGTAATATCCAAGAATCCCCTCTAGAGGGATTCTAGTTACTTAGTATTTCTTTTCCCTTCCGATCCAAAAATCAAGTTTATTTGTATCAGTCTTTCTTTACTTTCAATATTTTGTAGCAGTATAGCCGGTTAGAATTTAAGCTTTGATTTTTCCGGCTTTGACAGCTAATTTGACAGCTGTCAAAAGTTTTCTATAAATCCTCTGCAGGCTCTTTTCACGGGTTACTCTCGGGCTTGAGAAAGGTGGTACTTAGTCCAAATAATTAAACTTTTGTCCTCCGGCACATTAGCTTAGTCCTTTAAATCTGTGGAATTTATATCTTTTATCGAATTACCCCAATTCTTCACGCAACCTTAGTTGACAGCTCCTTGCTTCAAACTGTTTACAATAAGGGGGGGGCGGACTTCCCTTTTTTTCACCTCCCCCGCTCGTGCCAAATTCATAATCAAATTATTTGTAATCCAATTTCCCAATTACTCACGGGTTGTTGTTCTTGATTTCCGGGTTAGGACTTCCGGGTTAGCGCGATCGGCTAATGGCGGATTCCCTCCGAGCTCCGGAGGGAATCGGCTTGACAGGGGCTGGGTCTTGCCGTGCCGGCGACACGGGGACCCTCAAAAACCACGGGCATAGGAGCCCGTGGACATGGTGACTCGGCGGGCATCGTTAAGCGCCCTCCCGACTCGCGAAGGAGCCTTTTTAAAGGCTACGGAACGGGTGCCGGGGAGCGGCGTGGTGCTGTGAGTCTTCTGCTTCCCCTGCCGAGCGAAGCCGCATGCCATTTGTCGGAGAGCGCTGACTTCTTCCTATTAAAATTTGGACTTAAAATCAAGG